CCAAAACAGTCCAAAGAAGCCTTCTGACACACTTTCGGTGATGTCAGGGGTGTGTGGCATATGCAAATAAGTCATGCTAATGAGTTATGCTAATGAGCTCCTGCACCTCTTTTTCTACGAAATAACCCCTGTATATAACAAATAACTGGTATCCAATTCAACCCGGCTTCCCTCCCCCTCCCCCTAATTAATCGCTCTTATGTGTCTGCTGAGGTATAACTTACTCTAAAGCATTTAGAGTTGTGCCTGTTTTATTGTATTTATTGTACGTATTTTGTTATTCTGTTTTTACGTTGTGAATCTGCACTCAGCGGATTATTATGGGTTGGAACCTACCCTAAGGCTGCTTTCTGAGGAGGGCGGGATATAAATCGAAGGAAATAAAAATAATCCTGGAAGTTTTTTGTCACCTTCCGGGACTTGGAACAGGGGTCACTGCAGGTGTGTGTGTGTGGGGTATTTGTGGATTTCTCGCACTGTGCAGGGGGTTGGACTAGATGACCCCGTAGGCCCCCCTTCCAACTCTATGATTCTATGAAATCAATCAATAAATAAGAGGCCAGACGGTCGTAAACTTATTTATGCTATGAATGGCTTTTCAACCGTGTATACTGGCTAGGCCGGATAGCTTCTCTCGTGTATTTTTCTGCTAAGAATTTTAACTACGGGCCTTTTCCATTGTTATTGGAAGATATATACGCTTGCTAGCCACTACAGGAATTGAAAGCACGGGCTGCAGATCTCTCTAATACAACAATGGGTCTGGGGGAGACCACACGCATACACCGAGGCTAAAAGTGTGACTCTGCTCAAACGCCTCTCCAGTGAGGTCAGTCTTCCTACCTCTGTGTAGGGCTGATCCGCCCAAGCGGGAGAACGAGGCGGTGGATCCCCGAGGCCCTGGAAGAGACTGCGCCGCTTGTGACGCAAATCAGTTCTGAATTAGAATGTTCATTGATTACTGAGGGATGCTTACGTACTTTTGAACTATCTGCCCGACTCTTGGAGGCTAGCTGGCAGTCGATGGAAACGAATGCTCTCTGCCCTTGCTACAGCTAAAAGACTCGTATTACAGCACCGGAGAGCAATGCTCCCTCTAAGCTGTGGAGTCCTGTGAGCAAAAGTTCTACTTTGTGAGCTACTGGCATTAAAGTTGTGAGCAAGTGATTTGGCTGCTGCATAAATCCGTTTGCTCTGGAGCCCTCCTTCCTGAGCTGAGACAAAAAGGTGTGAGCCGGAGGCTAAAAAACTGTGAGCTAGCTCACACTAACTCAGCTTAGAGGGAACACTGCCGGAGAGATAAATGCCTCCTGTGAGTCAGTGGATCAAGGACCTTACAACAGTAGCAATATTTGAACGCGTGACATGTAGACAACAATTGTGTACGGGCATATTTTTTTTTTAGATATCTGGAAATCTCTTTACAGAAACTTATGCATAGATCTGCCAACGCTGTCCCATTTCTGTTTCTACTTTATTAATTAATTAATTGAATTAGATTTACTAGGCCGCCCTTCCATACAAGAGGAGCTCAGGGCGGCTTACAACAGAGTAGTATACAAAACAAATTGTGAACTAAAAACAAGATTAAAACCACCTAAACGAAGAACAGCGGATAAAAAGAAAAAAAGTACATATACAAGATGGCGGAAGAAAAATATTTCAGTTCCCCGGCTTACTTGGGGGGGAGGGGTTACACGGGATGGGGAAATATGAGGAGGAGGCGGAGGAGGAGATTGGATTTATACCCCGTCCCTCACTCGGAGTCTCAGAGCGACTTACAAACTCCTTTTCCCTTCCCCTCCCCACAACAGGCACCCTGTGAGGTAGGTGGGGCTGAGAGAGCTCTTGACAGAAACTGCTCTTTTTCAAGGACAGCTCTGACAGAACTATGGCTTGCCCAAGGTCATCCAGCAGCTGCGAGTGGAGCAGTAAGGCATCAAACCTGGTTCTCCCAGATTAGAGTCAGCACACTTAACCACTACACCAAACTGGCTCATGCTAGAAGTAATATTTCCCCCGTCGCTGTCGTCAACCAAAGGCCTGGCGGAACATATGTACCTCTTATATATATATATTTATTTATACTTCTTCCCCTTTTTTATTAGTGTGGCGGGCTACCCAGAAACACGCTGCCTGGCAGGGCAAGACAAGCCCTTGGGCCGACCAGCAAGACTCAGGTGTGTGGAGCAAGGGTGGAAATGAGGGCGGAAAGGTACAGTAGCCTCGGCAACAGGAGCAGCCGTTGCATTCTGGGTTGGAGAAGCTCAAAGGGTGTGGAGGCTGCGAGCTGGCCTGGGTGGCTGAACAGTGGCTCTCTGGGCCCAGGTGTTTTGAGGCGAGGCAGGGAACAGGGGAGAAGAGGGTGGAGCGTAACCCAAGGGCCAGGTGTGGAGCTGGGGCTATAAAAAGGGAGGGAGGAAGAGGGAAATGAAACAGGAGGAGGCCGGCAAGAGGAGGCGGAGGCCGAAGCAGGTGGCAGCGTTGTGGCTCTTCTCCTGTGTAATGCGCCGCTCGCCCTGAGGTGGGTGAAGCAAACCACACCTTCGGGGGTCCTAAGCCACTTGCCTCAGGAAACAGTGATGGGGCTTGTGGTTGCAAGCAGTACTCCCTCTAAGCTGAATCGCACAGTTTTTTAGCCTCCGGCTCACACACGTCTTAGGAAGGGACGGCTCCAGAGCAAACTGACTGAGGCGGCAGCCAAATCGCCCGCTCACAACTTTAACGCCAGTGGCTCCCAAAGTAGAATTTCTGCTCACAGGATTCCACGGCTTAGAGGGACCACTGATCGCGAGACCCCATGGACTCCGGGTATGGTGTTCCCCTGTCCCCAGAGGACGCTGCAATCAGTTACTGGATTTTGAGGGCTTCCCCCCCCCCTGTTCTCTCCATCCCCCCCATTTTTGGAAAGAAGGAAACAAATTAAATAAGTAAATGCATCCCTCGTTTCTCAGCCTAGTTGTTTTTTCCTTACTGAAGGCGGGGGCAAACAGATCCCCTCTGTCTGGAGAGCCGCACTGCAGCCTCCGGCGATACAGTTATCCCCCCGACTCTGAGGAGTCCCCCCTTTCGTAACGGGTCCCTGCACCCACCTTTTTGGTGTCCCAGGGCTTCAGCAACTGCTTGCCGTCGTCTGGGAGGCTCTCCTCGATGGAAGGCACTTGGAAAACGAACACTGGGAAGCGGGGGGGGGGGGGGGGGGGAGAGAAGACAACCAGTCAGCTGCCAAGGCAAGGAAAATGACCCAAAGTAGCCCTCACATTGGGTGGAGACTACACTTCCCAGCATGCTCTGCCCCCCACCCTGCAAACGCTAGAGGAGCCAAAGACAGAGACAAAGGGCAAGGTGGGAAGAGCGATCTCAACCCGTCCCTTCTGCTAAGATATGGCTGGTCTGTCCAGACTGAGTGCTGGACTGGATGGGCCATTGGCCTGATCCAACATGGCTTCTCTTATGTTCTTATAAAGAAGAAGAGGTTGGATTTATACCCCACCCTTCACTCGGGAGTCTCAGAGCAAGCTTACAATTTCCTTCCCTTCCTCTCCCCACAATAGATGCCCAGTGAGGTAGGTGGGGCTGAGAGAGCTCTTTCGAGGACTGCCCTTGAGAGAACAAGCTCTGAAAGAACTTGGGACTGGACCCAAGGTCACTCAGCAGCTGCATGTGGAGAAGTGAGGAATCAACCCCGGTTCTCCCAGATTAGAGTCCGCGCACAGGGCTCTTTTTGTAGAAAAAGCCCAGCAGGAACTCATTAGCATAATAGGCCACACCCAACAGCAGAAACTCATTAGCACATTAGGCCACACCCCTGATAGCACAGCTCATTAGCACATTAGGCCACACCCCCATGTTACCAGAAGTGTGGTTATCCAGCCACACCCACCTTTTGCTTGTTATTCTGTTTACCTTGTTTGTTGTCAAAACCCAGGGCCTTTTTTGTAGCAGGAACTCCTTTGCATGTTAGGCCACACACCCCTAATGTAGCCAATCCTAATGAGTTTCTGCTGTTGGGTGTGGCCTATTATGCTAATGAGTTCCCGCTGGGCGTGGCCAACTTGGGAGCCAGCCGGAACTCCGTTCCTGTGCGTTCCTGCCCAAAGATAGCCCCGCGCGCACTTAACCACTACACCAAACTGGCTCTCAAATGGATCCCCGCTGCCTCAGCTAAAGGAAGAGCTCTGTCTCGCAGGCCCTGTGGAACCCACATCTGTAATGCCTTCTGCCCCTTTTCCGCAGAGCTGTTCTGCACAGCCTCTGGTTGAGCCGGCGGGCGCCCAATTATTAGGCCCTCCCTTTCCTGAAGCTCTCCGACTGTATATTTATAAGATCTCCACTGTCCTTTGGTTTATGGCCCAGTAGCCTCCAGCTATTTGGGATGGCTGTACTTCCCCTAATTTATGGTGCGGCTTGCTTTTAATGGTTTCAGTTATTTATTATTAGAACTGTTTTAATGGTTTTCATAATATTATCGTTGTGACTGGCCCTGAGCCTGCTTGCAGGGAGGGCGGGATATAAATTAAAATAGAGATATTTTAATTCCAAGGACTCTGTTGCCTGATCCCGAGCAGGGGAGCGCTAGCTCATTTTCTTGCAGTATTTGTAGCTTTGGTGGGAGGGGGAGAACCTGTTCTTCCAGATGTTCTTTTTAGTGCTCCGGCGGCAAGCAACCCACTCCTGGGAGGAGTGTCGCAAAAGTATCTGGACCAGCCCTGATCTTTCCAGTGGCTCAAGCTGTTCTTTGTAATAACAGATGTTTAGCACTTCTATGAAGTACTTTTGAAAACTCTCCTGTATATTATCTTAGTAATCTGGGGAAATATATCAGGATCTTAACGATCCGTTATAAAGGCTCATTCTAAAAGCCTCGAAGGGCTTCACGCTCTACAGATCGACATCTCCTGGTGGTCCCTGGCCCAAAAGATGATGATGAAGAAGAAGAGATTGGATTTATACCCCACCCTTCACTTGGAGTCTCAGAGCGGCTTACAAACTCCCTTCCCTTCCCCTCCCCACAACAGACACCCTGTGAGGTGGGTGGGGCTGAGAGAGCTCTGACAGAAACTGCTCTTTTTCAAGGACAGCTGTGCCAGAGCTTGTGACTGATCCAAGGTCACATCAGCAGGTATAAGTGGAGGAGTGGGGAATCAAACCCGGTTCTCCCAGATTAGAGTCCGCGCACTTCACCACTACACCAAACTGGCTCTTGTCCGTCTTGCCTCGACGTCTTGCCTCCACCCGGCCTGGTGGAACATGCTCCCCGTCGAGATCAGGGCCCTGCGGGATCTTCTTCAATTCTGCAGGGTCTGCGAGACGGAGCTCTTCCACCAGGCCTTCCGATGAGGCAGCAGGTGTCTGTGTGTGGCCTCCCCGAGGTTGTCGTCACCCATTTATCTACAGCTGGCTATCACTCATTTGTCACCAAAGGGCCAAGGAATCCCTCACAACCAGCCGAGTCTATCGCTGGGCTGTGACGACCGTTTTAATGTACATGACTGTATTTAAAATTTTTAACTCTATTTGTTGTATTGTTAAAATGTCGTTACTCGCCCCTGAGCCCGCTTGCGGGAAGGGCAGGCTATAAATAAGAAAAATAAATAAATAGTAAGAACATCGTCCCCTTCTTCACCTTCCTCCTATTAGAGAGCCAGTTTGGTGTAGTGGTTAAGTGCGCGGACTCTAATCTGGGAGAACCGGGTTTCATTCCCCACTCCTCCACTTGCACCTGGCTGGATGGCTTTGGGCAAGCCGTAGTTCTGATAAGAGCTGTTCTTGAAAAAGAGCAGTTTCTGTCAGAGCTCTCTCAGCCCCACCGACCTCCCAGGGTGTCTGTTGTGGGGAGGGAAAGGGAAAGGAGCTTGTAAGCCGCTCTGAGACTCCTTTGGGTAGTGAAGGGCGGGGTATAAATCCCATCTCTTCTCTTCTTCTTCTATTACCTACAAACCACAGCCTGTGGGGCCCCGATGCCAAATGGGGGCAGCAATCAAGATTCCCACCTGGGGCTTCGTCACTCATGCCTTGATCTTTAAGCTAGGCCTGCCTTCAGCACTATGAATGTTTAAAACTGAGCCAAGCCAGCTCCCACGAGGAAGGCAAAGGGCTCCTAAAGGCAAGCCAGAAGAGGGTGAACATAAGAACCCAAGAGAAGCCAATGTTGGATCAGCCCAATGGCCCATCCAGTCCAACACTCTGTGTCACGCAGTGACCAAAACCCAGGGGCCATCAGGAGATCTACCAGTGGGGCCGGAACTCCAGACGCCCTCCCACTGTGGCCCCCAAGCACCAAGGATACAGAGCATCCCTGCCCCAGACATAAGAGCATAAGAGAAGCCATGCAGGATCAGGTCTAAGGCCCTTCCAGTCCAACACTCTGTGTCACGCAGTGGCCAAAAATATCAGGTGCCATCAGGAGGTCCAGCAGTGGGGCCAGAACTCCAAAAGCTCTCCCACTGTTGTCCCCCAACCACCAAGAATACAGAGCATCACTGCCCCAGACATAAGAGCATAAGAGAAGCCATGCAGGATCAGGCCAAATGGCCCATCCAGTCCAACACTCTGTGTCACGCAGTGGCCAAAACCCAGGTAGCCATCAGGAGGTCCACCACCAGGGCTGGTGAAGAAGCGAACGCTTACCTTTGCTATCAACGTCCCCATCCAGGTAACCTGAAAAACAAAGATGAAATAACGTTGTCAGGGGCGGGGACTGAATGCGGAGCTTTCATTTAAGCTCATTATTGAAACTTATTCAGACAAGCTTGTCTGTCTTTGTGGGGTTTTTTTTGCCCTGTGAAACACAGGGGCAGCGTACACGGTTCTCCTTCTCCACTGTTTCACCCTCACAACAACCCTGCGAGGTAGGGTTTAAGCTCCGAGCAACTTGCTGGAGGTGAGCGGTGTGTCTGAGTGGGAATGAGAACGCAGAACCCTTCGGTCGCAGCCCCCTCCTCCTCGCTACACTCACAGCTACGATTTTCCGGGGAAAGTGAATTATTTCAGTCGTTCAAGGCAGAAAGGTAGAAATGCTCCATAAGCGATTGAAAACCCGAGGGCAGAGACCTGATGCCTCTCTCCATTTGAAGCTATAAATACCTCACACCAAGGCAGTGAGGCAGAAGCAGGAAGAAAAACATACATTGACTCTGACCGGGGAGGGGTGTGTGTGTGTGTCTGTGTCCTTTTTCAACATTCAAAGTCTCAGGAGCTAAAAGATCCAGCTGGTGCCTTCATCCTTCACATATAAAGGCAAAAGGTGATTTGGACACCCATTTTGGAATCCCTGCCCAAAGCTCTTCTAACCTCCACAGGCCCCTCCCCCCCATCACTTTAAGTCCTTCCCTCAAAGAGGAAGATGAGGAGGAGGAGCAGACTGGATTTATACCCTGCCCTTCACTACCCGAAGGAGTCTCAGAGTGGCTTACAATCTCCTTCTCCCTACGAGAGACACCCTGTGAGGCAGGTGGGGCTGAGAGAGCTCTTTCGAGGACTGCTCTTGAGAGAACAGCTCTGAGAGAACTTGTGACTGACCCAAGGTCACACCAGCAGCTGCATGTGGAGACATGGGGAATCAAACCACCCAGATTAGGGTCCGCGCTATTAACCACTACACCAAACTGGCTCTCAGGAAGAACAGAGGCGAAAAGGGGAAACGGCTCACCAGTCTTGCGATTTGGAGGGGGAACGCCCTGGGAGGGGCCCAGGTACATGTCCTGCGGGTTGGGGTTCATTACGCTCGTGTGCAGGGCAGAGTCGGAATTTGTTCTGGAGGCAAAGAAAACCACTGTTAAGATAATAATTATTTTAAAAATGAGAGCCAAGTAGAATCCCCAGGTCTGACATGAGCTATAAGCGGTCAGGTAGCTATAGCGACACGATGGTGGCTGGGCAACTCGTAACACAAGGGTGCAACACCAAAACCCTCCCTGCTGGAAAACGCAGCTGTGCTCACTAGTTCCGCAGCTATTTTTTTTCCCCTTCTAAACCTTCCCCCATGCAGTCTGCTGCACTGATTTCCAAAATGGGCAGTGTCTGTCCATCTTTCACACTCACACCCAGTTCTAGATCAAAACGGGTAGCCGTGTTCGTCTGTCTGTAGCAGGAGAAAAGAGCAGGAGTCCAGCAGCACCTTCAAAACTAACAAAATTGGTGGCAGGGGAGGAGCTTTTGGGAGTCACGGCTCACTTCTTCAGAGAGATCAAGACGGGTAGCCATGTCAGTCTGTCCGTAGCAGGAGAAACCAGCAGCACCTTCAGGACTAACAAAATTGGTGGCAGGGTTATCTGAAGAAGTGAGCAGCGATTCACGAAAGCGCCTGAGGTAAAGGTTTCCCTTGCTCGAAAGCAAGTCGAATCCGTATCTAGGGGGCGGTGCTCATCCCCGTTTCCAAACCAAAGAGGCAGCACTGTCCGAAGATGTCTCCGTGGTCGTGTGGCCGGCATGACTAGACGCTGAGGTGCACGGAACGCTGTTCCCTTCCCACCGAAGCGGTACCTATTTATCGAGTTGCAATTTCTTGCTTTCGAACCGTTAGGTTGGCAGGAGCTGGGGCCAGAGACGGGAGCTCACTCCGTCACGTGGCACTCGGGTCTCGGGCTGCCGAACTACAGACCTTCCGGTCTGCAGTTCAGCGTCTTAACCATTTGAGCCAGGGTTATCTGAAGAAGTGAGTGGCGACTCACGAAAGTGCCGACCCGGCCACAAATGAAGAAGAAGAAGAGAAGAAGAGATTGGTTTTATACCCCGCCCTTCACTTGGAGTCTCAGAGCGGCTTACAAACTCCTTTCCCTTCCCCTCCCCACAACAGACACCCTGTGAGGTGGGTAGGGCTGAGAGAACTCTTGACAGAAACTGCTCTTTTTCAAGGACAGCTGTGCCAGAGCTTGTGACTGACCCAAGGTGACATCAGCAGGTGCAAGTGGAGGAGTGGGGAATCAAACCCGGTTCTCCCAGATTAGAGTCCACACACTTAACCACTACACCAAACTGGCTCACCAAACTGGCTCTCTCTCTCTAAATGCCGTTAGTCTTTAAGGTGCTCCTGGACTCTTGCTCTTTTCCACACACGGTTCTAGTTGTACACCCAGTTCGAGTTCTGCAGCCTTCTGTCTTTCACCTCCCCCCTCCCATGTCCATGGGCTTTGGTGAGGGTGGAGGGCAGCAAAGGGAAAGATAGAACTCTCCTACGTTTCTCCCCCGTGCCAAAAGCAGTATGACACGCTTGCTAGGGTTGCTAAGCCTTCTATTGTTCTCGAGGGGAGCCGTGTTGGTCTGCAGTAGAACACCGAGATGAGAGTCCAGCAGTGCCTTAGAAACCAACAAGATTTCTGGAGTGGAAGCTTCCGACAGCTTACGCCCTGAAATCCTTGTTGGCCTCTCAAGTGCTCCGGTACTGGAACCTGACTGTAAGCATTATATGTTGACTCGGGGGGAAAAACATACGGATTTCTCAAGAACCCAAATTTGCAAGACTGAACAGTAAAAGACAGGGCTTGCCCTATGGAACTCTGGGAACTGTAGTTTTCCTGAAGCCTTGGCCAAATCTACACCACCCTTACCATTACTTCTTCACCCAAAGAGTCATGGACATGTGGAATTCACTGCCGCAGGAAGTGGTGGCAGCTACAAGCAGAGACAGCTTCAAGAGGGGATTGGATAAACATATGGAGCAGAGGTCCATCAGTGGCTATTAGCCACAAGGTATAGATAGGATCCTGCCAACCTAGCAGTTCGAAAGCAAGAAATTGCAAGTAGATAAATAGGGACCACTTCGGTGGGAAGGGAACAGCGTTCCGTGCGCCTTGGTGTTTAGTCATGCTGGCCACATGACCACGGAAACGTCTTCGGACAGCGCTGGCTCTTCGGCTTTGAAACGGAGATGAGCACCGCAACCCTAGAGTCGGATTCGACTGGCTTTCGAGCAAGGGAACCTTTACCTTTTATAGATAGGAACTCTGGGTCTGGGCAAGTGATGCTCTGTATTCTTGGTGCCTGGGGGGGGGGCAAGAGTGGGAGGGCCTCTGGAGTTCTGGCTCCACTGGTGGACCTCCTGATGGCACCTGGTATTTTTGGCCACTCTGTGACAGAGTGTTGGACTGGATGGGCCATTGGCCTGATCCAACATGGCTTCTCTTATGTTGTTCAGAGCAAAGGCTCATGAGCGAGTATTAGCCAATAAGGTCTAGAGGGAAGACTCTGTCTGGGGCAGTGATGCTTTGTATTCTTGGTGCTTGGGGGGCTACAGTGGGAGGGCTTCTGGAGTTCTGGCCCCACTGGTGGACCTCCTGATGGCACCTGGGTTTTGGGCACTGTGTGACACAAGAGTGTTGGACTGGGTGGGCCTTTGGCCTGATCGAACATTGGCTTCTCTTACGTTCTTATTAATGGAGAGAAACCCGTGGAGGTTTGGAATGCCTTTTGCCCCCTTTCTAAGGACTCTGAGCCAAACTCTTTCCACAGGTGCAGAGACTCATAGGTCTGAGGAGTTTCCCTCCAAATTATGAACTCAATCTGTGACTCAACTTCACCGGAAAATATTCTGGTTCCTGTTGTGACATCTGCTATTTCTTCTTCCCTCTTGGACAAGACAACAAGAGAGCGAGGCAGGAAAACAAGAAAGCTGAGGCCTGGGGTTTTTGTTTTTTTTAACACTGAGCAATCCTTTGCGCCAAAAGGTCTCCTCTCCATGCGAATAGAAACACAGACCAGTGAGGTCGGAGGGTTCCCCAAACCCCTTGTTGCTGGGCCAGGTTTCTCTTTGCAGAGACTTTTACTTGTGGTAAAGGTAAAGGTTCCCTTGCTCGAAAGCCAGTCGAGTCCGACTCTAGGGGGCGGTACTCATCTCCGTTTCCAAGCCAAAGAGCCAGCGCTGTCCGAAGACGTTTCCATGGTCATGTGGCCAGCATGACTAAACACCAAGGCACACGGAACGCTGTTACCTTCCCACCGAAGTGGTACCTGTTTATCTACTTGCAATTTCTTGCTTTCGAACTGCTAGGTTGGCAGGAGCTGGAACTAGAGATGGGAGCTCACTCCGTCACGTGGCACCCGGGTCTCAAACTGCTAAACTGACCTTCCACAGCCTGCAGTTCAGCGTCTTAACCACTTGAGCCACCGCAGCTCCTTACTTGTGGTACAGAGAGCCAAAATGTGATCCTCACCAAACAACAGTGTCTGGTTCTACCACCGCACCGGCCTATCACCTCATTCTCCTAGCGTGTGTGAATGAGAGGTCCAGTGAAGCATCGCATCTTTAAAGGCTCCACCTACCAGTGTTCCCTCTAAGCTGAGTTAGTGTGAGCTAGCTCACAGTTGTTTAGCCTCTGGCTCACACATTTTTGTCTTCGCTCAGGAAGGAGGGCTCCAGAGCAAACTCATTTATGCAGTGGCCAAATTGCTCGCTCACAACCAGCGGCTCACGAAGTAGAATTTTTTTGCTCACAAGACTCCACAGCTTAGAGGGAACATTGCCCCCTACGTAAGTAATTTTTAAAAATTCTTCCTGTAATGAAAAAGCTAGCTACAGCCTGAAGTCGGCCAGACTAGGATCTCCCTCCGTGCTCTAGTATCTCCCCCTTCCCCATTTTACTTGCATAGAATACGTTATTTGGGACAAGTACAGAATCATAGAGTTGGAAGGGACCTCCAGGGTCATCTAGTCCAACCCCCTGCACCATGCAGGAAATTCACAAATACCCCCCCCCCGACCTTGTGACCCACGCCCAGAAGATGACAAAAAGCCTCCAGGATCCCTGGCCAAACCGGCCTGGAGAAAAATTGCTTCCTGACCCCAAAGTGGCGATCGGCATTTCCCTGGGCGTGTAAGAAAGGGCCACGAGAACTAAGCACTGAGGCGACCCTTCCTGCCCTCCCTTCTCACGATCTGCCTAAGTTCACAGAACCCGCACTGCTGTCAGATGGCCATCTTGCCTCTGCTTCAAAACCTCCTAAGGAGAGCCCACCACCTCCCAAGGGGGGGAACCGTTCTGACTGCCAGGAAGTTCTTCCTAATGTTTAGCCGAAAACCCTTCTGATTTAATTGTTCAAAACTGGTATTCCCCTGCCCACTGGATGGCGTGATGGTCCCTACACCCATCTCAGGATCTTGCTCTCTCAGTTCTGCCGAGCCCAGGTGATTCGCATTGCGAGCCACTGACATAAGAACGTAAGAGGAAGCCAAGGCTGGATCAGGCCAGTGGCCCATCCAGTCCAACACTCTTGTGTCACACAGTGGCCAAAACCCAGCTGCCCTCAGGAGGTCCACCAGCGGGGCCAGAACTTCAGAAGCCCTCCCTATGTCGCCTCCCCAACTGCTAAGAACAGAAGAGAAGCCATGTTGGATCAGGCCAATGGCCCATCCAGCCCAACACTCTTGTGTCACACAGTGGCCAAAACTCAGCTGCCCTCAGGAGGTCCACCAGCGGGGCCAGAACTTCAGAAGCCCTCCCTATGTCGCCTCCCCAACTGCTAAGAACAGAAGAGAAGCCATGTTGGATCAGGCCAGTAGCCCATCCAGCCCAACACTCTTGTGTCACACAATGGCCAAAACCCAGCTGCGCTCAGGAGGTCCACCAGCGGGGCCAGAACTTCAGAATCCCTCCCTATGTCGCCTCCCCAACTGCTAAGAACAGAAGAGAAGCCATGTTGAATCAGGCCAATGGCCCATCCAGCCCAACACTCTTGTGTCACACAGTGGCCAAAGATACCAGGTGCCATCAGGAGGTCCAGCAGTGGGGCCAGGACTCCAGAAGCACCCCCCCAAGCACCAAGACAGAGCATCACTTGCCCCAGCCCGAGAGTTCCTATCTACACCTTGTGGCTAAGAGCCACCGATGGACCTCTGCTCCGTATGCTTATCTAATTCCCTCTTGGAGCCGTCCATGCTTGTAGCCACCGCCACCTCCTGTGGCAGTGAATTCCACGTGTGAATCACTCTTTGGGTGAAGAAGGACTTCCTTTTATCCGTTCTAACCCGACGGCTCAGCAATTTCACGGAGTGCCCACGAGTTCTTGTTTGTTACAAAGGGAGACAAGTACTTCTTTCTCCACCTGCTCTATCCCATGCATAAATTTATAAACCTCGACCATGTCACCCCTCAAGCTAAAGAGCCCTGAGCGCTTTAACCTTTCCTCATAGGGAAAGTGTTCCAACCCTTTGATCATTCTCGTTGCCCTTTTCTGCACTTTTTCCAGTGCTGTAATATCCTTGTTGAGGTGTGGTAACCAGAACCTCCTAAGGCACCCTAACCCCACTCTCCCTCTGCTGCTATAGGGGGCTGGGCACAGAGGAGCCACCTCTGAAAGGGTCCCGTTCTTAGTGGGTGGGGTACAGCAGGGCCTGTCGCCGTCTCCCTCCACTCCATCGCATCTCCCGCCCCGCCCGGCTCTGAGCCTTCTGAGCTCCCAGTCAGAGAGACGGGGCAGATGCAGAAGAGAGGAAGTAGCCAGAGATGGGGTGGGTGGGTAGCCCTGCCAAATTAACAAAACACCAGGAGCACGGACAAGGGAGAGACTGTTCCGCCACTTGCTTCCAACACCCTGCCTCTCCCGACTTCCTCCCCCCCCAAACCCCCCCCCAACGCTGGCATTTTAAAGACGCCTTTGGGGACTGGGGCGGGAAGATGAAAGGCGAGGGAAGCCCCCACCCCTTCCCCAGCAGGATAACAAGCGGGGCATTGTTGGAAGATCCCAGCGGAGTTGGAGTTGCGTGCCGTGTTTCGCCCACAACAAACTGAAGAGCGGGCTTTCATTCCCCTCCTCCGCTGAAGCAAGCACAGAATTGGGGATGGGGGAGAGGGAGGGGGAGGCAACGGCTGTCCAGAAACGGGGGCTGGCGTGCAAACGGGGTGGGAGGGCAGGGGGGGAGCTATGCCAACGGGAAAGGGGGGGCACCAAGGCGGGGGAACTCCGTGCTTCAAGAATGGTCCCTCTCAACATTCCAGGATGGGAACTGATCCGTGAGGTGAAACCCGTCCTGTGTTCTCAATTCCAGAGTGAAACAAGCGTGGATTGGGGGCGGGGGGAGAGAACCCTGCTTTCCGCCTTAAAGTTGTGAGCGAGCCATTTGGCTGCTGCCTGAATGCGTTGGCTCCGGAGCCCTCCTTCCTGAGCGCAGACAAAAATGGACGAGCCGGAGGCTAAAAAAGTGTGAGCTAGCTCACACGAACTCAGCTTAGAGGGAACATTGTATCGCACGGCTTTAGAAGGGGATCAGACACGTTCGTGGAGCAGAACAGATCTATCGAGGACTGCGAGCCGCGACAGCTAGACGGAACCCGCCTGTCCGAAGGCAGTCTACCTTTGGACACTGTACGCCGGGAGGGCTATCTTCGACACCTGCTTTGGGGCTTCCGGGAAACATCTGCCCCACTGCGGCCAAGGGGCAGCTGCAGCTGGTGGGATTTTTGTCCAATCGAGGAAGGCAGTCACGATTGTTGCCGATACCCATCCGAACTATTATTTATTTGTTTAAATTTATGAATCGCCCACCCTGCAAGTAGGGCTTTGGGTGATTGATAAGTTAACACAATCGGCATAAAATGATCATAATGATCCAATAAATTCACCAGTCCGGATGGCGATAAAGGCCCCTTTTGCAGGCTACACTGCTGACTGTGCGGCGGCACAGGGCAGGGCAGGTGGGGGGGTCACAGGAAGAAAACAATCATAGAGTTGGAAGGGACCTCCAAGGTTATCTAGTCCAACCCCAAAGAGGGTGCCGGTCTTAACCGTCGCTGCCCTCTGGTGGAATGTCTCTGCCTTGCAGGCCCCTGAGGAGCTGCATCGGATCCCGGAGGGCCCTGGGGGTATTCGACAGGGTGTTCCACCAGGTCGGGGCCAGGACTGAGAAGGCCCTGGTCCTGGTCAAGGACAGCCAGACTTCCCTAGGGCCAGGGATCACTAGCAACGAAACCTCCAAGTTCCAAGGCAGTCTACCACCGAATACCTGTTCCAGGGTATGCAAAAACAGTAGGAAGGTGAGTGAGTGTGATCCCGCTGAGATACGGATGCTGGACTAGATGGAAACTTGGGTCTCACCCACAGCAGGGTTCTTCCAAGACTGCCGGCGACAGGTGTGGTTTGTTTGTTTCAGAATCAAGCTCCTAGCCCTTAGGACTGTAAAGGAAAGCCTGAAAGCACCAACAGACGCCTGGCAAAGTCTCAGGAGGCAGGGATCACGGGCAATCGAGGAAGAAGGACCTGGTGATCCGAATTCACACCCCGTGACTGGCTAAAACAGGCTAAGATGGAATCGTAGAACCATAGAGATGGAAGGGGCCATACAGACCAACTAGTCCAACCCCCTGCCCAATGCAAATCCCCTGAATTTACATAGACTGAAGACCTCAGAAGGATTTGGACTAGTCTGGCGCTGGTTTCCGACTGGGTTTTAGAACACAGGACACGCTACTGTGCTCGGACCACTCCATCGGGTGGAGCGCTGTGAACGCTGACTGCCAGCGGGTGTTTGGGGGTCTCACGGGGAGGAACCTCCTTCCTCAGCTCCTGCCGCTACCTCTCAACCGTTTACAGGAGATGCCGGGGACTGAACCGGGGACCTTCTGCTTACAAAGTACCACTGAGCTACGAGAGAGAGGAGAGAGGAGAGAGGAGAGAGGGGAGAAGGGAGAGAGGGGAGAGAGGGGAGAGGGGAGAGGAGAGGAGAGGAGAGAGAGAGAGAGAGAGAGAGAGAGAAGGGATTGGGTTTATACCCCGCCCTTCACTCCCCAAAAGTGTCTCAGAGCGGCTTACCGTCTCCTTTCCCTTCCCCTCCCCACAACGGACACCCTGGGAAGGAGGTGGGGCTGACTCTTCCGAGGACTGCCCTTGAGAGAACAGCTCCGAGAGAACTTGTGACTGGCCCAGGGTCACACCAGCAGCTGCACGCGGAGGCGAGGGGACTCAGACCTGGTTCTCCCCGCTTAGAGTCCGCACGCTCCTGACCACTACACCAAACCGGCTGAGCCCTTCCAAAACAGGGAGCTTGGCCACATAACGCTCACGGGCAGCCTCAACACTGGCAGCGTCTCCCCAAGGCCTTGGGTCTTTGTTTATTTAGGTATTTTGCATGTGTGTGTGCTTGTGTGCCTGGACGTCGTGTTGACTTCTGGCCACCCCTAGTGGGGCTAGGACGTTTCAGAGAGGGGGTGGCTGCCTGTCTCTGCCTCCCAGGCCTGGTATTCCTTGGAGGTCGCCCTTCCTAGTACTTGCCAGGGTCGGCCCTGCCCGGCTTCCGAGATCTGAAGAGACGGTGCTTGCCGGGGCTATCCAGGCCAGGGCAAGGCCTTGGGTCTTTGTCAACGCCGGTGACCAGAAATCCTTTAACTAAAGACGCGTGGGGAGAAGGGGGGCTTTCAGATGGAAAGGAGACGCTCTCCCCCCCCCCGAGCCCTCCCCATGAGCCTGCTTGCAGCTGGGCAAGGAGGTCTGAACACTCCTAGGGACACGCCTGGAGCCTGGCAAGGAGCCGTAGCTCAGTGGCAGAGCATCTGCTTGGCAGGCAGAATGTCCCAGGTTCGATCCCCGGCATATACAGCGAAAAGAATCAGGTGGGAGATGCCATGAAAGACCCTGGAGAGCTCCTGCCGGCCTGAGTCCACAGTACTGACTTCCGCGGACCAAGGGTCTGATCCAGTATAAGGGCACCTCACGTGTTCATACGGGAGGGGCCCGTGGCTCAGTGGCAGAGCATCTGCTTGGCAGGCAGAAGGTCCCGGGTTCAATCCCCGGCATGTACAGTTTAAGAAAGGACTGGGCAGCGGATGATATGAAAGACCTCTGCCTGAGACCATGGAGAGTCATGGGAAGGGGCCGTGGCTCAGTGGCAGAGCATCTGCTTGGCATGCACAAGGTCCCGGGTTCAATCCCCGGCAGCGCCACTTAAAGGATTAGGCGGCAGGTGATGGAGAGAGACCTCCAAGCAATGTTCCCTCTAAGCTGTGGAGTCTTGTGAGCAAAAATTCTACTTTCTGAGCTGCTGGCATCGAAGTTGTGAGCGAGCGATTCGACTACAGCGTAAATTAATTTGCTCTGGAGCCGTCCTTCTGGAGGTGAGACAAAAATGTGCGAGCCGGAGACTAAAAAAACTGAGCTAGCGCACGCTAACTCAGCTCAGAGGGATCACTGCCTCCAAGTGGAGATCCCAAAGAGCAGCTGCCGGCCAGAGCCAACAATACTGACCTTCATGGACAAAGGGTCTGATTCAGTATAAGGCCACCTCATATACTCACAAAGGAGGGGCTATGGCTCAGTGCGACAGCATCTGCTCGGAATGCAGAAGGTCCCCGGTTCAATCCCCGGCATCTCCAGTTAAAAGGATTAGGTTGCAGGTGATGAGAAAGACCTCCGGTGGAAACCCTGGAGAGCAGCTGCCAGCCAGAGCTGGCGATACTGACCTTGATGGACCAGTGGTCCGATTCAGTACAAGGCGGTTTCACGTGTTCACCCTTTACGCCTGGGCCTTTCCCCCTCCCCGCAAGCCCAGAGACGGTGTCTTAGGTCCGATTATCAGCAGCTCGGAATGGTTGAGAGAATGAGACGAGAGGGGAGAAGAATACGGAATCAAAAAAGATGCTTCACCTGTTGAGTACCGTCGGCAGCCTAAACAGGTGTCCTTTCTCCGTGGGAAATTTACCCCAGGGCATGGTCCTTTGCAACAAAAAACAGTAGGGTTACTTTTTTTTGGGGGGGGGAGGCAGAGCGAAGACCCCCCCCCATTAGGGGATTAATAGTTTGGCAGTACAGACAGAGAGAGAGAAGAATGGGGGGTGGGGTGCAATGTTCCCTCTAAGCCGTGGAGTCTCATGAGCAAAAATTCTACTTTGTGAGCTCCTGGCATTGAAGTGGTGAGCGAGCGATTTGGCTGCTGCCTAAATTAGTTTGCTTTGGAGCCCTCCTCCCTGAGCTAAGGCAAAAAAAATGTGTGAGCCGGAGGCTAAGAGACTGTGAGCAGACTCACACTCACTCAGCTTAGAGGGAACACTGGTGGGGTGCAAAGGCCACCAGAAGGGAGAGACGGAACGAGCGAGGGGTGAAGGAGCGCTAGTGGGAGGAGGTCAAGAGTAAGGAGATTTAGGGGGCGGAAGTGGGTCGCGGAAGCTGGAGTCCCCTCCTGCCCACAGCCCGGGGCCACATCCTGAACGGGGACAAAGTTCCGGTGGCTACACACCTGTGATGAGGGCTGCAGAGGTCCTCTCCTCATCCAGCCCCCACCCCAGATGAGTTAATCTCTTCTGAAGGAGGCATGCAAACACCCTTCTTAAGCTCAAGGAGACGCAGCGTTCTTGCGTTTCTTCCCGCCCCCCCAGCCTCCCCGTAGCTCCCTCCCCTTCCTCCACACACCCACCCACGCCACCCCTTCAGCGACCCCGCTGAGTCCTCAGCTCCACAGGGATGCGGCAGGCTAAAAGTTGCAAGCTTTTGCGGGGGAGAAGGAGGGGGAGTGGCACATGTAGACCCACCACCGAGACCACCACCACCACCACCCCAAGCATGAAAGAAGTCTGGAAGCAGTGGAGGAAAAGAGAAAGGAACGAATGAGCGGAGGCAGCACAAAATCCCTGCAGGAACGTGAAACCACTCAACAGCCACACCAAT